ACAGAATATCTTCACAATGGTGGGAAGAGATCGACATGATTCTTGTTGGAGATTGTTGAACATATATCGAATCTGATGCTCCTGACCGATATATACCTGAACAGTCAGAAAGACCGAAAAAGACGGCCACACCGTCTCGTGGTTATCGGTCTGCAGAAACAAATTGCAGCAACAATCGAGGCTAGTTGGGATTTATGGCGCAAAGACGCTAAGGATACTCACGCTTTCGTCTCCGAGTTCTGCACTGGCATGTCTCGACACACACTGGCACGAGTCAAGTCAGAGATGTGGTTGGAAAACGGATTGAACGCCCCCCTCAGCACAGTACACAAGAGCGTGGTGTCGAACGAGTCCAACCCCCAGATCGTCCTGCTCAATCTCTACTTTGATCTCCATAGAGCAACCAGAAGGCCAATTCTTGGCAGTACCGTTCGACCTCATTAATATCGATGTTCTAGATTTGCTCTTAGCGTGTCTTCATAGAACCAAGAAGAGGATGATGACAGCAAAGACATATATACATGTGCAGATCTACATACTGAGCCGCATGTAGTGCCATTGGAGAGAAAGTTGCGTGTCCAGCAGCAACATGTCTCTCACGAGAGGATGCACCACTCACTTGGAGAACGAGGGTGCGATCGCAGTATAAGGCTGTCGAGACTTCACGCGTAACATCCTCGGATACAACTTTTGAACAGACCGGGAGTATTGACCCTAATCTGCTATCGACAATCATGGACTCTTTGGATGACACCACCAAAAACTTTCCAAGCACCGCTCAGATGCATGACTCAAGGCAGTCACAAGCTTTCTATATAGCTCCAGCACAACGTGGATCTTCTTCCGCATGTCGAACGTTCACGCAGTTCCCATCACTGCGGCATGCTTGAGAAAACGTATCTCGACTTTCCTCAGCGCAGTCGTTGTGTGGAAGGTGCTGCTTGGCCACTGGACTATCCTGTGTTCACTCGTCTACCAGAAGCGCGGAGCTTGATGATGAGCGACCTGACCGAATTCGTGGTTGACAAGCTCTCCAACGTCTACAACCTCGCCATTTTGGGTATCGAATTTTATATCGTCAATATGTCCTACCACGGTCGCAGGATCTGACAAACACAAGGTGGTAGACATGTTCACCAGATGGAGAAATCAGAAATTCGAGTCGACTTTAGACCTGAATTTGCTGTAGGTCGTAGTGCTTCGAAGGATGGCCCATCCGGCTGGAATGGAACGCACGAGGCTTGCATCCGCCGCGAGATTCCGGTTCGTTGCCCTCTTCATCAGTAAATCGAGGATGAAGTTCAGCACTTGTCTCTGACGACGAGATTGGGTGCTCCTTTGCGACGTTCAATATTGTATGTATCTCCAGAGCCAAGAATATCAAGCGCCCGGAGTTTTCGGGATATTTCATTGCCGACCCAGACGATCTTGAGCATTTTGACGACGCTATCGACCAGGCCTTCTATGATCAACTCGCCTACAACACTGTCACCAGCGTTGCAGTTGCTACGGAATGTATCAGACGGATTGGCGTCGCCTATGGCGACTTCTCAGTTGACACTACATGTGTGGTCATCGACAGACGGGATGAGCATCAACGCCTGTTCTAGAAGAACATACTCCGAGAAAGATTTATAGGATGCGTGGGCAACCATGATTGTACTGCTGGCTACGTAGCAGACAATGCCTACGAGCGATGGATGCGCGAGTTCTATGTCGATAGTAAGGGTTATCCTAAACACTGTCAAGGATGATCCTCCAATCATAAGGCTCCAACTCCCGCTCCCCGTGAGAGTCTCAGAATCTAGACTCCTGCCGATTGCTTTGAGGAGGAGAAGCAGATCACTTTCGGTCAATGGGAGCAAATATTCATGGGCTCCGACCGGAACCGACTCCGACGATAACGCCCAAAGCTGAAAGGTTCCACAATCTGGATGGCAGCAGCCCAACAATGGTGGCCGAAATTGCGCGAAGACACAATCTGTCCTGCAGACATCGACGATGGAGATCTCGGACAAGAACTGACTGCGAGATAGGAGAGGGATATGAGAATGCAGAGCATTGAGAGAGCCAGCCGATCCGGATTGAGCCTTTCTTGATGGAGAACCTAAGCCACGACAGAAAGGCAGAGGCCCCACCGAGAGTGGATGCTCTCTCCTCCATTGATACCGAATCGAACTACCCCGCTGGAAGTAGAAGACTCCAGGTCTTGGTTTTCCACAGCAGGTACCGGTTATGGTTATATATATATAGCTCCGACCAAACATGGAGCACCCAGACAGAAAGATCGCCAAGAAACGCCAAAGCCAACGCTTTCTTCTGGAAGATGCTATAGATGTCCCTCGAATGAGGTCTAGAGTCGGTCTGACCGCGAAGCAAGTTACTTATTCTAGAGAATGTTGGCACTCTTCCCATGACGAGCTGCGTCTTCTGCCTCTGAAGTGAGGAATATTAGAACAGCTGTACGTCGCCAACTCCACGAGCATACACGCTGCGGTATTATTTCTTCCAGAAGCCCTATCATCCATGTCAAGAGCTCAGCGGCCTCAGGCTACGAGAGCTCTGCCGAGGCTCGCCACGCTCAGATGGAGGGTCCTACCGATACCACCGAGGATTCTAGGTGAGCCCATAAATCTTGACCAAAACGCTGGCGTGAGCTCGGATGGCGCTCTTGAAGCTGGTGACTAGACAGAAAACGGGTTGACGAATCTCTTCGACGATCCCCATCTTTATTATGTATGGCCGTCTGCCAGTCTGCCATTACGATAGACGACAGGCGATGAGAGTGATGATGATGACAACCGCAGTGGGGGACCTGTCATAGCGACGATTGGGAGTTCAGCAGTGGTTCTCAACCAACCGTATGGCCCCAAGAACATCATTTGCTGCCAGTTTGCGCAAGCACCTGCGCGAATACTTCCACTTCAAGCAAGACTAGGGGTTAGCGCCATCCAACCTTGTGTGGAGAACCTTCACGCGTTTTGATCAGGCTGCGTGGCACGTGTATCAGAAAGCTCCGCTACTTATCCACTTCCACTAGAGGGTAGACAAAATTGGAGATCGCATACTAGCGGTTCCTGTCAAGCCCACTGGAAACGCTTGAATCAATAGCGGTCCTGAAGTACCTCTGGGACTCAAGTGCAGGGTCAGAAGCATTTAGTCATCGCGGGATACACAAGTCGTCCCACCGACATGCTTGGTCCTAGGACTTGGTGATGATCGAAACGGATAATTCACGAATGATTTGTTTAGACAGAATAGATACAGATCAAACTGGCATCCGGATAGATGCTTTTTAGCATCAACACTTAGCGTTACTGCTTCTAGTATAGTGCCTCCTTCTAAGAGCGTAAAGCTGACTGGAAAATACACCCACCGCATTGTCGACACTATGCTAAATCATTGCGGTCGCAAACTACGACATCTCCTATTGGGCTCGCCTTTCGATCTTGTACATGCTGTGTTCGCAAGCGTATCACTTTCTCGTGCAATATAAGAAAAGTGTCCATTCATAGAGGAGCTCGCTTTGCCTATTATGCGAGGGCAAGGAAGTGCGGATGAGACTACCATATATCGAAGTTTTGCTCAGATGCCGACAATCTGCAAGCTTCGTCTCTCGGTATTCTGCTCACAGCCATTTCTCTAAGACGAGGATCAGCAAATACTAGGGGGCGAACTTGATTATCAAGTTGCGCTCGGTGAGCGGCCGGACCTAGCAGATCAAATACCTCATACCATAGTCGATCTGGCGATCGACAAGACGCTCGCAGAATCCATTTTCCACACCACAGTCCCGGCTAGAGGTTCGACCTCTCTGGCCCTGGAGTGTTTGGAGATACGTGTAGAAGCCCTTCAGGGTCATGGTAAATCTGGTTCTGCATCTGACATCATCAGACTACTACGATACATTGGGCGCTCGTGGACTTGCACTCGCGACTTCCGAGGTGGTCGACCCTATCAGTGTCATGCTATGGAATGTGACCCTGGGGAAGAGCTTCGCAGACGTAGTATTGACAGTTTAGGGATGCAAGATGAAGAGCTAGAGGTTGGTATAACAGAATTATTCCTACGTGTCTGGCCAGAAGGCCGTAGCAAGGGTTGGAAGACAGTGTGGCACAGCTTCCCTTTAGATAAGCCTGCTTCCCTATCGTCTCAAATCATGTAGCTGGTATCTTTCTCGCTCATGTTAGCAATATGGGAGATGAACGTCCTTGCTCGTGCGCCTGATCACGAATTTCCTGAATTTCCTGAATTTCACTCTCTCAAGTCCGTTGTTGGACCTAATTGCTAATGGGACTTGATTCTTGTTCCAGTCTGTTGCATCATTCTCATGTATCCTTTTATGTCTAATTAATTGTATGGATGTCTGTATCTGCCTCATACAAGTGTATTAACAACTTTAATGCATCTTAAGTTGATCATCCTACCGCAATGGACTGTGATTCAAACGCTGATGAGCTTTGATGCTTTGAAGTCGTGAAAGAGACATGTAACCCAGGTACCTTCGTTGCTCTTAGACATACGCTTTGTGCTGCAATGTTTGCATATGATTCCGCTACTCCAATCTGCTAGGAGAATCATTGTATAAGATCCACAGTCTCGACCGTGGCCTGAGACTCGTCGTGCCGTGTTCCAGGACTGTCGTCCACTCGTCCCCACCCACCATCTCCTGTTCTCTTTTGAGTAGGCTCTCTGTCTCCCCCGGAGGAACTCTCCCCCCCCCCCCCCCCCCCTTCGATGATCAGCACGGTCCGAACGGGGACATTCCTAACCTTCGAAATCCTGCCTCTTACGAGCAATCCCGACATGCCTCAGGTCCACCAGAAAGTCTACCCGACATGCCGGTCACTTGAAGAGAGGTAGACTCAGAACAGACTTGACATCTGCGGCACGCAATACAAGGCAAGGTATGATTTTCTGAAGACTGAGCTTGAAATTCAGAGATTCTATATACAGACACGAAACCTTCTCCCTTACCGACGTGTAAGGCTCAAAACCTATGCAACATCAGACAGGGTGATCGAGAAGCCTGGTTTGATCATCATGGTGGTTCCATCGATCTCTGGTGCAGACTGGTTGGTGTAGATTGTGCTTTCATCTCGAGACTTCAATCTCTTGGGCTCCGGGCCACCATGTCCGTCACAGCAGTCAAAGTATAGAACGCATTGGTGGTTGAGGAAATACCAACCGGCCGAAATCCAACTCTTCGTGGTGAAAGGTGTAGAGAAGCAGGTATCAGAATCTGGGGTGACATAGCAAAGCGTGCTTGGATTGCATTTGGTACCGTCATTGCAACGCTCATTGACCTGGCGCGCCGGGTTGGCTACACACATTTCGATGGTCTGGATGACTTGGACAGTGCTGGTAGCGGCTACTGTTGTAGCCGAGGTAACAGTAGTAGTGGTCGCGGTTGGGCTACCGACTACTACGCTGCAGGCGCTCGAGATGACGNNGATGATTGATATTTGGTTAATCCAGGCGGGGTACTCTGAGCGGCTCTCTTCTGGTAAGGAAGGTTGGTGGTTGTTGTGGTAGTGGCTGTCNGAGGAGATAGTCGCAACAAAGGTAGTAGCAGTAGTAGTAGCAGTAACAGTGATGACGGGAGCACTGTATCCAAGCAATGTACTACAGAAGGGCTGCAGGGAAGACCACTTGATGTCGGCAACAGCTTGGTATGCAGCACCTTTGGAATCACCGACAGTAGGGCTGATACCGCCGTTGGTCTTCGCGAAACCGTAGCTGTAGTTGATGACATACTGGTCCTGTCCTCTCCACTGTCCTGCATTTGTCGCGTAGTCCGGTGTCCAGGGCTCAGTGTACAACGAGCAGTACTGTCCTTGAGGAATCATGTCCTGCTTAGGAATGTTCTGGCTAGGGTTTGCGGCCTGGTTCTTGTATAGCATGTATGTGTTGAAAAAGTTGCAGACCTTGTACGGAGTGCCATCCTTAGGGGCAGTTGCCTTGTTGTAAGCAGTCTGAGCATCGCAATAAGCGGCGCAAAGACTGGTGTTCCAGGCACTCTGCGTGAAGATCTTAGAACCCATGAACNNTAGATACGAATCAGCATCATGGAAGCGCGATACAGTTGGCTACCTTACAGTGTTGTAACCTTGAAAATCATAAGGTGCGTTGATGGCTTTCTGGCCATAAGGAGCGGCACTGTTGAAACCAGCAGGAGTGGCAATCTGGTTGCTCACATAACCGTTGGAGCCGGCAATGCTCACATTGAAGCCACCACGCATCTGTCCAAAGTTGTTGGCGTTGGCCTCGCTAAGCGGACCTCCCCAATAGGCGCACTTGATCATGACGACTGATTGAGGATTGGTGCAAGAAGGAGAATCAGGGTTTTCNTGTCCGAACCAGTCAGCTGTCTGAGCGAAGTTGCGGTCGATGAAGGCCGTACGGGAAGGATCGCGTTCATAGTACATGTTGAACGACACGCAGCCAATCTTAGCACTGCAGCGATCTGCGCAAGTCTGGACGTCGTATGTCTGGAAGGTATCAAACCCCATGTAGNNATGTAGCTGAGGATTGTTAGTCGAATCTCGATGGGATACTTTCCCACCAGGGTTTCCTTACGCATTATTTGAGGCTTGCTTGTTCTTGAAAGTCAAATCATAACCACTTGGTGTTGGAGCGCTGTTCGCCGCTGAAGAGAACCTGTCATCCTGGAGGAAAGCATCAGGAGTATCCGGGGAGGTGGCCGAGACAGCTCCAGTGGGCTGAGCCGCGCAAGTGACAGTAGTAGCGGCAGCTCTTTTGGAGACGACTGCAGTCGAAGACAGCACATCGTCTGCGGCGACGCTGACGGAGGAGATTGCTGCAGTGGCCTCCGCTCCAGCAGCAGCGAGATCAAGGGTGACGGTCTGAGCAGTAACGCCAACAGCCTCGGAATAAGATGTTGGATCAGGTGCGGCAATGACCATGTCAAGGTCAATGTCTTGAGGAGCAGGCAAAGCAGCGGCCAAGTTGGCCGCCAAAACGGGAAGAGCATAGGATGAGAAACGCATCTTGATAGAGACGTAAGGAAGATCTGGTAGAGGAGATTGATTCTGACCTGTGTTGGGTGGAGACTTTTCCTCCCCATATATCACAAGACCCTTACCAGAGCCTCACCAGGAAGATGGTCTTAGTTTTGCCGAAAGCTATGAAATGTTCTAGCGAGCGCCACGAGGCGTCCATGGCAGAGGCAAACTCCACCATTTACCGTCTGTGGCAGACGAGACATCAGCTGAAGATTCAAGGGGCTTGATGGTTTGGTAGATGCGGAGTGGAAATACAGGAGAGACAGATACTTGACAGGAAAAGTGGCTGGAAGAATTAAGAGAAGAGTCCATGCGGCTTCTCCTTTGCATGCGCGGGGAAAGGCGCGACCCAATGGCCATCGGGAACGGCACCCAGATCGGTTAGTCGTAAAAGCTTACCACTCTTCGGAAAACATCCTCGGCCGAAAACGCTGTTGCGTTCCTGTTCCTGCAGAATACTTGAGTGACTGTCGACAAGTAGACATAACAATGTTCTGATGCCATCTGGGGTTGTTCGACGTCTGCTCCGAAGCTGAATTTCGAGTATCACATAACGACAACGTTGCATGGACTCACTCCGCCACAAGACTGCCCGCCACCCGCTGTTACAAAGATTCTCGGCACCATTTCTGCCGTGTTTGCGGCTGAGACATTGGGCTGAAGTTGGACTTCAGCTGCTTCTTCCATCTCGCTCCCAAATCTCAACTGTCCGGTGCTCCAGAGGTGATCACCGACCAGGACTGGAAGAGGGGTCGGGATGTCCGGTCAGTCAGTGCGGTCTCCAATAGGCAGCCCGTAGGGTCCAGAAATGGTGGACGGGATGTGGCGGCTGCTCTAATTTGGACGACCTAGGGTTGATTCTTGGGGAAGAATCTTCTCGATTGCGGCGAAAGGTCTTGAATCGGCTTCCTCTGCGCTGGCTTTTCAGCCCTACGAAATTGTTCGCCGCTCTGAGGAATCTCAACTAAACTGTCTCGGTGATTCGAAATGGTTGTTCTTGCGCTAAGCTTGTTTGATTGCTTCCATACGGAAAGCAATGAGTCCAGATCGCAAAACACCTTCTCAGCCGCACTTAGCTCAGGATGTTCGATCTTTGTTGGCTCAGCTGAAGTAGAACCCATCGAGCTTTGGTTGATTGAGCTGCGATTTTTCTCCCAGGCTAAAGTTGTGACACTGTTTCTTCTCCGATTTCTCCAGCTCACAGCATCAAATCACGTGTTTCTGATGGATGCAGGCTAAGATCAAAAAGCCCATCAGCAACATTTCTGGAAACTGAGCGGGCCACCGAGCACTTGACTGTCGGACTACAGCTCATCCCGACAACGTTCAGTTGTTTCATACTACTTCTCTTGTCTCAGGAGTAATCTAATCTTTCCAGAATCTACCAGAACACTAGATCCTGTGAATTCGCAAGTCCGATCGCCGCTGCCGATGAGCCACCCTTTTGGGGGCTGGATGTAGCCTTTGGTCCCTTTTGGTACGTCAATAGAAACAAATCCGCAAGTCTGACCGTTCCCTGAGAACGTCCAATGTATCTGGAGCAAGCCGGCGGGCGTCTCAACCGCAGCTTCAACTTCTTCAAGGCCTGCGAAAACAGGCGCGGCTTCCCATTCTTTCCATCCGGCCTTTAGAGGTCGTACGCCAGCAAGATACATGGGCATGAGATATACTGGACTTGCAGACCATGCGTGCATTAGAGAGGTATCTTTGTGAAGAGGTTGACCATCCATTGTCATGGCTTCCCACAATCCACCTGAGTAATCAGGGCTCGTCTTATCAACCATCATACCCCAGACGCGATCTAGAAGATTGAGAGCCCCGAGTCCGTCATCTCGTTTGAAACAAGCTTCGACAGCGAATGCGGCACTGTATGGACTGCAAAGTCCCGAAGAGTCAAAGCGAGCTTCCAAACCCCGGAAAGCTGGCGGAAGTTTACTGCTTGGTTGCACGAGGTTTTCCCTGTCTTTTTGATGAGATGGAGAGACGCCAAGGGACATACCATAGGCATTTACATGAGCGCAAAGTCCTGTTGCTGGGGAACTGTCACTCATCCGCACTATACCAGTCTCTTCGCTCCATAAATGCTGCACAATGGCTTGCTTGAGGGCAGAAGCTTTCTGCATCAACTTTTGCTTCTCAAGTGCTGTGGGTGCTATCAGTGCCATGGCCATCAGAGCGTCGTAGAAAGCCAAGTTGATCTCGGCAGAGGTTCCAAAGACTGGTCCACCTAAGGGAAAGAATGTCACTATGCTCCTATCAGTATGGTACAATGAAGTCTGCGAAGGGGAGTTGATCTCACAAGAGAGTGGTGGGGGTGCCGCAATTAGGCCTCTGTGATCTGCGAATCTTTCTGCGAACTGGATCATGTTCTTGGCTTTTGGCCAGGTGTTTGACAATATAGTCGTATCACCGGTGAACAACCAGTAATCTTTCACAGCGACTATAAGTAGCAAGGCATAAGACATTGAGTAGAAGGCGTATGTCGGTGGCTCGTCGTCACTCATGTGCTTCGGTGCCTGGATTGGGCAAAGATTGCCAAGGTAACCATCGCTGGTTTGATGGGACAAGAGCAACTCAATGCTTCCAAGGATTGCTGAGGGGCTCGTGCCTGAGAAAAGAGCTGCCCTACCAGAGATGTGTAGATCACCGCCGAATACAGCTCGATCTCGTTTTGCACCATCGATCAAGCATGGTAGATCATTTGTTCCAACCGCAAAATCGGCAAAGGTTCTCGGCTCGTCGACTCGGAGGAGACTGTTCGAATAGAGGACCGATTGGCGAGCATCCGTGACAAGCAAATTTCGATAAGTTCCAATCCAGCCACATGGACCTCCAAATGCAACAGAGCCAGAGTTGTTCTCTGATCCTCCAACAAGTGGATGGAGGTTGAGACCAGAAACAGATGCAACTGTGATACCGTTAATGGAAACGGAAGCGCAATCGGCCCTTGTCACTGTCTCGATGGCCAACCACTCAGATTGAAGAAGAGCATTGTCGATCATCCATCTACCCCGTTCGACCGCGGGGAAGACGGAAGCCTCGTGAGAAAGTCCTTCGGAAGCGACCAGGGTTCGTCGCTGTTTATCGAGACAAAANACGAGGCCATTTGCAACCATGTATACACCCCAGCTTGCGCCTTGATGTTCAATTCTGACTTCGAATTTCACATTTGAATCCATCCACCGTGTACCCTGGCGGCAGGGGGCCCAGTGTTGACCGTATATCCTGGTGCCATCCGTAGTAGTGTCCCACGCGGGTACGGTCTCATTCTTCTGTACAGTGCACATACTGATTGTCCGTACACCTTGTTTCCATATCTTGTTGAGCTTGTGATCTGAACAACGAAACATAGACTTGGAAACTTCTTGATGCGTTGTGTCCCAGAAACCGACCATCGAGAAGCTGATCGAAGCGTTTGGCGTCAGGAGACGAATTCTCTGATAGCGCTGAGAGCATTGCGCATGTCTCGCGGCCAAAGTTCGTGCTGAGGTGGTTGGCGCGACATCGTGAATCACAGAACGGTATGTGTCCATCGCATTTGAGAAGAGAAGGCTTGGACCATCTCCACGTTCATCGTAGACGGCGTCAAGTGATTCGCTATAGAAAACCTGGAAGTTGATGCTGGCAGCTGACGAAGCCGCATGTTCGATCTGGAATATCGGCTGGCCCTTTTCCGCTCTTTCATAATCCAAGATGATCTCCGGCTGACTTGTATCGTCGCTTCTGAGGGTGAACTTGGGGAACTTAAGCTCTACTGTGTTGAGCCCGCCACTCGTGATCTTGACCACGCGTCGTGGCTGAACTACACCCGGTGGCATGACGACTCGATCGTTCACTTTCATAGTCAACATAAGATTGGTTGAGGGTCCCGGAGACATCTTTGCTTACCAGCCATCACTGGGTGTTATAAGGTATTGTTCAAAGAGCGATGGTCCATGAGCACTCGCCCTGGAACCTCCGTGAAATTGATCAGCGGAGAGTGGACAGTGGACAGTGGACAGTGGACAGTGGACATGGCCAGTTTGAGGTGGCTGCAAGATCGTTGCCAAGGACTCGATCGGCAGGATTCTTCGGCTTCTGAGACTCTAGAGAGGGGAAGGGTTTGTGCAGAACGTGTCCACTTTCCAATCACATCAACATATCTGCGACTGAAAACATGATAGAAGGGGAAAAACATCAATGCCCCATTTGTAGCAAGTCGTTTAAGTCGAAACAGAATCTAAGCCGTCATGGAAAGACACGTAAGAACATGACTCTCGCAAACCTTCACGGCCAGTCTTTTAACAATGATCAGATAGGACGGAGCGCAAGCACGCCTGTCTAATCTGTGCAAAATCGTTCACCAGAAGCGATTTGCTCAAGCGACATGTACGGCTACATGGGCCATCAAGAGAGACCGCTTCACCAGAGCGATTCGTGGACCAAACCGCCACACTTGACCCGATTGATGCAATGTCTCCCGTCATGGTTGGAGACTCATCGAGCACACACTCAGTCGGGGAGATACTTAGTGACTGGCCGACATGGAACGACACCGACTTGTTGTCATGCGATCAGATACCGGACGACATCCTTCTAGACGTCCCATCCTGGCAATCCTTTTTGCACAGTGACTATAATGCCGAGTTTCCAGTCCTCGGAAATGCTCTGATCAATACACAATCTTCTCAAAGTGCACAGGAGACGTCGCTTCCTGGTGGTGCACTTTCGCCGCCTAACGAGATTTCACGCGAGGATCAAACGCCATTCGCTTGGGATCCAGGTTCAGAAAGGATCTCTTGTTTTGCTGAAATTTCATTCCAGACCAATGACCCTCTGCTTTCAAATCGTGAAACGGGGTTTGCACTGAGCCCTGAACGATACCTGCAGTTCAGAAGAGTCCTTAGTGAGGATGTCATCATCAACGGCACAGTCGCTGTCAACGCAATCCCAAAGATTCCTGCGATAGAAGTTATGAACGCCTTTCTCTCACAGTTTGCTCGGTTCTTCCTGCCTCAAGCCCCAGTGTTACATCGGCCTACGTTTGACGTAAACAGCGATCACCCAGACCACCTGTTGATGATCATGATTGCTATCGGTGCCGTCTACTGCAGACGCAGGCATGTAAGAAGATTTGCCATTGTACTGCAGGACTTTGCAAGATGTCACCTTCATCTGGCCATTGGCGCGCGGGACGTCTTGTTACGAGAATTGAGTACTATATACAGCTCAGCCTTGATCTGCTACGCTGGAATCTGGTGTGGCAACAAGCGTGCATTCGAGATCGCGGAAGCCCTCCGTGGCAGTGTTGTCTCATGGACTCGTAGACTCCCAAATCAGGATATAGCGACGGAAAGTTCTAGAAATGGGTCCAGAGATATTTGGCTCAGTTGGGTGCGGCACGAGTCACTGAAAAGACTGCGATGGACCGTGTACGTTTTTGACTGTCAAATGTCCAGTCTGCTGAACACGACACCATATTTCAGCTTGAGCGAAGTCTTTACCTGGGCTTGTCCGTGCGACGACGAGTACTGGGTGGCTCAATCTGCACGACGATGCAAGCTTCTGCTTGGTGATGCGAGGGTGCCACCATCGATATCATTTGCTGCAGCGATGGGCCCGTTTCTCCTGCCTGCGTCACTCGTTCAGCCTCTGAAACAATTAAATAGCTTTAGTGCTTTCTTGATTCTCTTGTCGGTCAACATGAGAATTCTCAATTATTCAGAAACTCGAGATGTCCTGGCAAAGCTGTCGCATATGGCACTTGATGACGACGAGCACATGGCTGGTGTGGACCTTGAGTCGAGTCATGATGTCCAGGAACGAGAGAAACTTGCAAGTAAGTTAAACAGTAAGCCCGATCCTGTTTTTGATCACTACTGACTGACTGATTCAGCTTCACTTGCGCTTTGGAAACATCATTATGNNATATCTCCTCAGACGTTGGTGCCCCCACCAGCTTCTTCTTTTCGAGATGTTGGCCGCATCATGGTCGGACTCTCCCAACTCCAGATGCACATTTCGATACAAGATCTCCAAGAAATTCTGGGTAAGTCGGGTCGGCCCGGCTTTGCTGAGGCCAAGTGCAGGTTGTCCAAGTGGTTTTCCAGGAACCCAGAAATCACCCTTGATCTTGTTAGCGCCTCCCTGAGAGCGGTCGAATATCACTGTGGAGTCTTCTCGGATGAACAAACACTTTCGGCATCTAGAAGCGAGGATCTCATCTGGTCTGCATCGACATCATCACCCTACAGCTCGATCTACGTCTTTCTAACGTATGTCTTTCTCTATGCTTGCGGGTCTGCAATGTCGTCGCCACAGCAAAAAGAGCGTTTGATCGCTTCGTTACTGGCAGATGGAACATGTGACACCCGCAACGTAAACCTTGAGCCAATTCTTGCTGTCTTCTGTTCAGACAAGACCGGTAGATTCGACACTGAGATTCTCAGAAGTGCTGCACAGACGCTTGGAAGATTTGGGAACTGGGGGTGTTCAACAAATCTGGCACTATTGTTAAGCTGGAGATCTAGACTAAATTGAGAAGTCACGCCTGTGTTCGCCTGGCCAATCCAGTTGACTCTCTATTGCAGATTAGCTACTGAACCTCGCCTAGCAATCACGAATCCGTTACTATCCAATGGCTGTCCATCCGCTCAGCTTAGACTAGTCCTTCCAGAGTAAAAAGTGACAAAATCAAGGGTTCCTCGTTACATTGCGCACGTTCAAGTTACAGCATCTCGCCCACATTTTCACCCCAGCTTCGTGACAAAACACCACTCTAAAATGTTCCTGCTAACTTTCCGTCCGTGGCAGCTGCGACAGCTTGGGCAGCACGGCCACCAGCATACTCCTGGAACCTCCTCGGGCTGATTCTGTTCTCATATAGCCAGTCGATCTCGGCAGTAGTAAGGCCGCGGAGATCCGGAATCAGCGGATGCGAGATCAAAAGAAGCAACAAAGATGAGCCCGCAAAAACGAGTCCAGTCCTAGCGCCGAGGTCTCCACTGTCAATGTTGTACATGTATGGAAGCACGAAGTTGAAGAGCCAAGTGGTAAGAGCATTCGAGAAGATGGTGACTGCTCGGTTCTTGCTGCGAAGCCTGTACGGAGAGATTTCGCCAGCAATGACGAATGCCACTGAGGTGAGGGTGGTATTTTGCCAACAGACCAAGAGATTNCCTGCGACTAAGTCAGTGTTGTTCCGCGATATTACACCAGGCAGATCTTACATCAAAATCGCAATAGCCCACAGAGGCCCCTTTCCTGGAGCCCAGTAGAGACCTCCGATGATGGCCATGATGATAACGTTGACTGCGCAACCGAGCAACCACAAGGACCGACGGCCAATCTTCTCAATATATACCCATGAGGCAACGATGGCGAACAGAGCAAGACAGAATCCGCCGATGGAGATGTCGAAGGTGTGGACTGCCGGGAGTCCTGCTGTAAGCAGAAAGTATATGCTTTGTCCTAGGAAGGACGACCCAGCAAGGCCGATTCCGAAAAACAGAAGGTGTACCGTCAGTGTCCTCTTGAGATTGCTGCCCCTGTACAGGTCGAGGAAGCTTCCGATGCCTGAGCTTTGCTCGTAGGCAGCTTCCTGGCGAATCTTGTCTGCAATGATCTCATACCAGGCATCAGGATTGTTTTGACGTCCATAGAGCCGAGCGACCGTCTTCCTTGCTTGATCGTGCCGCCCTTTGAGGATTAACCAAGTCGGACTTTCGGGTACAAGGAAGCACGATATGCAGGTGAGTCCACAGAAGATCCACTGCATGGCAAAGACGAGACGAAAGGCTTTGGGTGTGATCTTCGTCACGAGTTGACGAACAACCACGAGCGCCATTGCTTGCATGAAGACCGTAAAGAGGACAATACCTGACTGTATCGGTCCACGTAAGCGCACAGGAGATATCTCGAAAGCCCAAGCAGTTGCTGCACTCAGCATGGCACCGATGGCGAGTCCGTTGACCATTTTACCAGCAAGGAGCATACCACGCGTGGTCGCCCCGTATTGAAGTCCGACTCCGACGGCAGAGATAAAACAAGGTGATATGATCGCGATCCTTCTGCCATATCGATCGGAGATTGGTGCGATGAGGATGCCTCCGATTGCTTGCATGAGTGCAGACATGGCACTGAGTAGCGACGCCCAGTTACTGGGGAGATACAGCGTGTAGGTAGGTGTTACGGCGCCAAAGTAGAGCAGGAAGCTGGGCATAGCTACAGCTGCCCCATTGACTACGACATCGTATCCGAAGGTGCCACCCGCTGAACAGGCCGCCAGAGAAAAGAGAATGATCCGGGGAAAGGTCTTCGCTGCTTGCCAGAGCGTGAGATGTATGCCCTCATCATGAGGTGTGTCAGTGTTGATCGGTTCGTCCACGGCCGTCATCTCGATGTGCTCGGCTTCGGACTTGGTGTCATGCATGATGTATTAGGTGAGGGTGATTGATGGAATGCGATCCTAAGCAGCAGGCAACAACTGGTGTCTGGAGCCACGGCAGGTCTGGGTATTAATCTTCCACCATGGGGTACCCCATGGGGTTGCATATCCCTATGGACCTGAGTGAGCTGTATCAGCCAAATTCCAGCGTGTCTGCCAAGGCTCGCGGCTGTTTGTGGTGTCCACTTTGATCCACTTTCGGCCATGCGGGCCACTCGGTATCCTCTGCACCGAGCAGAAAGCGCTGTAGTAGTCACAAACCTTCTCGCGAGTACTGAGGCGGGGTTCGAGTGTGCGTTCCTGTTGTTCTTGTATCAGAGGAGAAGTGTCCACTCAAGGAGTTTTGTCTGGTTCACAAGCTAAATATAGTGCTCTAGGAGATGATTTCCACCAAGACCCTCGCTGGTTCCGGGCGAAATGATCGAGACCATTATCCATAATCCCATTATCCCAGGTTTCGCGCCGGATCCGTCGTGTGTTTACGTCGATGGCTGGTACTACCTGGTCAACTCTTCTNTTTACGCCTTTCCCGGCCTCCCGATATACTCCTCCAAAGATCTTTCCAAATGGAGACACATCGGTAGTGTCTTGTTGAGCCATCTCCACGATCTCTTGCTAATCGTATATCCAGGAAATGCCATCAATCGGCCTGATCAGCTCAGTCTCGACAAAGCTCTGACTGTCAAGTTTCCCATGGGCCTAGGCAGGATGCTCATGGCCACAGAAGGTCTCTTAGCACCAAGCATTCGTCATCACAAAGGCACATTCTATGTCATATGCACGAATGTGACATCCAACGGACTCGATCTTGAGTATAACAACTTTTATGTCCAAACCTCCGACATCCAATCCAACTCGTGGTCAGATCCCATTTACTTTGATTTCAATGAGATTGATCCAAGTCTCTTTATTGATGACGACGACCGAGCCTATATTCAAGGATCATACAGGGCAGGACCTGTGTGGGACCCACAGTGCAGCATCGGCCAGTTTGAGGTCGACATTGAGACTGGAAAAGCACTCTCAGAGATCCAGCATATTTGGCTAGATGCACTGGGCAATCAAGATGCCGAAGGACCACATGTCTACAAGAAAGACGGTTACTACTACCTTCTCGCTGCAGAAGACGGGACATTCGAGAAACATGCAATCACCATGGCTCGTTCAGCCAATATCTGGGGACCTTACGAGAGATGTCCGAACAATCCTTTGCTGTGTGCTTTCGGCAGCCAGGAGCCCGTGCAACATACCGGGCACGGGGATTTGTTCCAAGCACCTGATGGACAGTAGGTCCACCCACTTCTGACCTTCGTCGTCAACGCCTGCTGACTCTTGNGCAGGTGGTGGTGCGTGTGTCTGGCATTACGACCTGAATATGGTCGTTATCCTCTGAGTCGTGAAACTTTCCTTGCCCCTGTCTCTTGGCCCAGAAACGGATGGCCGACCATCGCGCAGCCACAGCTAAAGTTTTCGCTTCCGCTCAAAAATACCATCCATCCACTTGCGGGAACATCTTCTGACGGTCATGACGTGGGCGACGTCTACATCCGTACGCCGGACTTATCCAACTACCGTCGACATGGATCAACGATCTCGATGGCTCCAAGCAATTGTCCTCTCTGTGAGCGATCGGGACGACCAAGCTTTCTCGGACGCCGACAGCGCGCTCTGATTTCCAGCGCTTCAGTCCGTCTAAACCTGAACAACATCCCAAACACTTCTACGCTCAAAGCTGGCCTGGGCCTCTACAAGGACGGGTACCGCCATGCTTACATAGCCTTGAACATGGAAACTAAGAAGGTGGTCGTCGAAGTCTATAAGTATGATTCTGAGCCTCGTTTGCTGGCTGAACATAGCATGGCGAACTCATCCTTCTTGGATCTCAGGATAAAGACCACAGCTTCGCTATACACTTTTTCCTACCGTGCCGCGTTGGACGATATCGACTGGCAGGAGCTTGGTTCTATCGATATCAACATTCTCTCAACGTATGACTTTGTAGGACCTCTTTTCGGGATATTCGCCGAAGCGCAGAACATGCACGAGCCGGAAGTCGATTTCGAAGACTTTTCGATCGAATCATATTAGAGTTCTATGCAGGGAACACAACTGATGGAATATATATAAGCAAGAATCTACAAGGCCAACCTCCAAGAAGTTTGACATTCGCTAGCAGTGTCATGATCCGCCGTCCTTCGCCAATCATGAAATCTTGACAAATCACCCACTTGATACACAGGTACTTAGCTATATGCTTGGATCATCCAAGGTTGTGCTCGGAAGTAAGACTTTCACCAGCCGGAACACCCTTTGCATTCACCAACTCCATCAGCGCCCTAAGCTCCCGCCGATACTCTGGCTCAGTAACAGACTAACATGGCAGCAGCATGATCTGTCCCCACCTACTCTGGCTGGATGATGAGCTCCTAACACGCCTAGTCAGCACTGTCTCAAGCTCTTGACTGCAGTCGCAAGGCCGTTTGCTTACCGTCCAAATTCGGTACAAAGAGATTCTCCTGATACCGTCTGCGTTGACGGCAGAGACAATTCTAGCTGTCCAATTCTCGTCTCCCTTTCGACCATCACTCAAGACAGTGCCGAGATGGCCAAGTATCAAGATGTCGTCTTGCCCTTGATCGCTAGTATAGACTCTATGTATCGTAAATTTGCGGACTTTGGTAATGTCCCAGGCCTTGAGTCTCTTCAGGTAGACATCTGTGTATAGCGAGTCAGTGTGATACTGTTTCATGTTGCAGTCGTGTTTACCCTTGGAACCATGGATCTTGAGCTCAGCTAATGTGATGTCTCCATCTTCGGTAAAGTACTCTGACAACTGTTTGGCAGCCTCATCAGTAGGAGTTTCGAGGACTTCGAAGAAGCCTGTGAGCCATGTCTGAAATTCGGACGTGGTTCCGCTGGGAGGCCAGGACGTGTTTTGGAAAGCTGAAATTCGCGACATGATGCAGTGCTCGACTATACTTCAACTGAGAGCCGTTGCGACACTTTTTCTTGCCATTTTATACCATATGATATACCAATCATATCACTATATTTTACGGATAGGCGTAAGCTTCCTACGGGATTTGGGGCTTGGGCGGCACTGACCACTAGCATTCATGCAAGTCGGCTTGGATTCCTCCGAATCCCACGCATCCTGATCCCATGGGATTTCGGTCTTCCTTGCATCAATCTCATGCATTCCGGCGGATCCCACCGAGTCCTACGTGTGCAAACAAATCTATCCGATGCAATTATTCCGCGACTATCATGCCGGCTAGCTCTTGCTTAATGTCGATCGACTCTCCTGAACGGCCGTCGAGACAGTATAAGGAAACAGCCTGCCTGACGACTACCCTTGATCTCAGTTGAGCGTACCCTTCTCGAGAGATAACTCTATCTCGCGCACTCGCGTTCACAAAACACAATCTTACCTTATTCTGATTCAAATCTCAATTCTCGTCATGGCCACGGATATGAAGACCGACAACTTCTCGAGTCATCCGGTACGTTTGTTGGCTCGGGATTCATCAAAGCAATTTGACTAACTTCCTCCAGTCCTCACAGACTGTTGATGTTGACAGCGAGAGCGGAGACGCTTTTGCCTCAAAGGAGGCGCATGCTCAAAACAACCCTGCGCCGGCGTTCGATCCTCGACAAAACCCAGATGGAGGCCTGCACGCCTGGCTCACTGTCCTCGGCGGCTTTTGCATCTTGTTCTGCTCTTTCGGATGGATCAACACCATCGGCGTCTTCCAAGCCTACTACGAGACTCATCAACTTGCCGGATACTCGTCCAGTACAATTTCATGGATTCCTTCGCTCGAAGTCTTTGTCATGTTCCTACTTGGACCTTGGGTTGGTCAACTGCTGGATCGCTACGGGCACCGCGAGGTCCTCGCGATTGGCACTTTCCTGCACATCTTTGGCATCATGATGACCTCCCTCTCGACCAAGTATTATCAGTTCATCCTGGCTCAAGGTATCTGCTCGCCCATCGGTATGTGCATGATTTTCAATCCCGTCATGACTACCACAGTCACCTGGTTTGCCAAGAAGCGCAGTCTGGCTTTCGGTATCGTGGCGGCGGGCAGCTCGCTCGGTGGAGTTCTTCTTCCCATCATCACCCAACGTCTGATGGAACAAGTCGGTTTCGGATGGAGCATGCGCATCACAGCGTTTGTTATGCTCTTCCTATTGATCATCGCCAACCTGACACTCAAGGCCAGAGTGAGGATGCCCAGAGGTCCATACGACCCCTTCGGGTTCCTCCGACCATTCAAAGAGTTGACCTTCGATCTGACGGTTACCGGCGCTTTCTTGTTCTTCCTTGGCCTTTTCATTCCTATCAACTACATCATCGCAGAAGCCCAGTATTTTGGCATGAGTTACACACTTGCACAGTATTTGCTGAGTATCCTGAACGCCGCCTCCTTCTTCGGCAGAATTGTGCCGGGATGGATCGCCGACACCATGGGTAACTTCAACATCATGATCATCACGTGCGTCTGCACTGGTGTTCTTGTACTCGCCTTGTGGATCCCAGCTTCGGGTAATGCAGCAATCATCGTGTTTGCGGCCTTCTATGGTCTTTTCAGCGGTGCCTTCTTCGCTCAGGCACCCGCCGTCGTGGCCCAGATTTCGCCTGACATGCGTCTTATCGGTGTTCGAACCGGTACCTTTTTCGCAACAATCTCCTTCGCTGCTCTGATCAGCAATCCCATTGCAGGCGCTCTGATCACACATTATGATGGGCAGTACAAAGGCTTGCAAATCTTTACTGGAACTGTCATCTTGGGCGGTGCTGCCCTGCTATCTGTCTCTCGCTATATGCTTGTTGGAGGAAAGTTGTTGGTCAAGGTTTAGGTACCTACGGGTCTCATGGTTGTAATTGCTTGTCGCAGCTATCTAAGCGGTGTGGACACGAATGAACACACGAAGGTTCAGGAGAAACCGAGTGTGCGCTGTAGATTGATTGCAAGATAGAATGGAATCTCTTGAGTTTGTCGTATGTTACTCTCAATGATCTCGTTTTGTGCAACAAAACATGCAGACGTAGTGCTGTACTTGCTATCGTATATGCGAAAACGTCCTGTATATGTGATGGATGCGGACACATGCGAGATGATGGATGCGGGGCGGGATCCATCGACGAGACTCGGCCAAAAATCCTTCCGGTAAATCCAGCGTTGACATGCCTTTATTTTGTCTTCATGTACACAAGCTCTCGCGAAGTTTGGCTACCGACATCCTCAGGCTTTTTCTCGATCTACGCAATGACACCCAAACCAATTCTTCTGTGCGGCAAAAGCGCTCAGATAGCTACTTTGTTCTCTCAACTCATGCTCCCCGAGTTCAAAGGTAGATCTGATGATCATCGTTCGCAAGCCTGTTCTCAACTGACTGGAGTTTCTTGCACAGTCATTCACGTCTGCGACAGCGTTCGTGCTGCACAATCAGACATCTCTTCCATCCTCGGTGAAGGAAGCTTGCTCGTAACCCCACACTCTGCCTCCAGCAACATCCAGGCAAACGCAAGCTCGTCCGTCCCACAAGCCATAGTCGTCGGTGGAGGATTTCAAGACGACGAAGTCGACTACCTGCGAAGCGTCAAAGGCGCGGACAAGGTTCCGTGGTTGTACCTTGACGAGATATCGCGCCAAGGGTTCCAGGCCCGAGACCCTATCGGATTCATTGTGCAAAAGACAAAAGACGCGTTGATCAATGAGGTCTTCGGCGAGAAAGGAAATGAGGAGATTGGGAAGTTGTGGAGACGCTAGGTCTTGGGAACAGCATCGGTAAAAGTCATGTGTGGTAGAGTATTGGTATCGACAAAGGTTCTCTCTCGATCTGCTATTCATCGTGCAGCATTTATTGCAGTCACTCAGCTACAACAGTGATAAGAGTGTGTCGGAAAGAAGCTGCATGGAGGTGGGCGGTTTACTATGAGCGAAAAAGATATCATGCAGCCTGATCCATCATCACAGGGTGTGAGACGTAGCACGAAAAACACACATCCACATACTCGAATATCTGGGACCTTCGAACGACAAGAACTTCATCATCAATTTAGGCTACCCTCGCCCACCACCTTGGACTCAATTCCACAGTCAAAACCACCTCGGCATCACACCTTAAGTCTGCTACTATATTCATTGGCCCCCTCCCGCATCGACCAGTCTCCCAGCATGAGCTTTAATGTCTCCAAATCAGGAGAGATATTCAGCAAACCCATTCAAGACAACTGCAAACCCGGTCAGTGCCCAACGAAAGTCGTTCCATTGCTTCCATCTCTGAACCAATTGCTTCATGGTCCACTGACTGGCCCACACCTTAGATTTCTCAGAGGCACTGTGTCGATGAGCTGAACTGATACCGTTCCAAGCAGGCATGTTGTATCCTTCGCCGGCCAACAGGGACTGCACCTTCCACTTGCAGGCACCATTGACATTGAATTCCATATAACCAAGAGTGATGGGCATGATACTGAAGACGAGTAATGCAGACATGGCGTACAAGCCAGCCTTCACCGCATCATCGCGAGACAAGTAGGCCAGGTAGAGGTTTGCTGCTGCGCCAGGGATCACGGTTGGAATGACCCAGATTGGACCAAGCTGATAGCCCTGAAGCCATGCTTTGGCGATAGTTTTGTCGTTGGGCGCATGATCAAGGATGGGCTTGACAGCGATGATGCTTTGGCAGAAAGTCATGCCTAAGGAAAAGTGATATCAATAGAAGGTCTTTGTCGAGAATTTGTATGCTTACCCCAGTAGACTGCAGGCAGGGACACCGCAAAGTATCTAATGATAGGAGTGTAAGGGATGAGGGAATCCATTGTATGCTTGATCTCGAAGACAGTCGATTTGCGAAGTGATGGAGTCGTCTGGGGCTATCGAAATGTCTGGAATGATGAGTTTACATTTCTGATGCTCCGGTGAGCGAAGTATTTATCACGGAGGTTCGGGAGGACATGTTTCACATGCTAGATTCTCATCTGCTCTGATCCGCCGGCATCATTGATTCTCCGTGTTACAATGGATGCCGATGGAAAGTTGAGCTTGTTGGATCTTGTTCATCCGTCTCATATCGTATTACACTGACCGGTTATATGCAGCCGCGTCGGAGCACCTTCACCTTTCCGAAGCATCTCACCTCAACATCTTTTTTACGGGCCTTGCCGCCCACCTTAAAATCCTTCGCCAACAAGCCTTCAATCCTCGAATCCGCCACCAACAACTAGTACTTGGTCTGCACACCAATGGTATACAGCTCTTGGATGTGCTAGTCAATGCGGCCAAGCAATCGGTTCCAGAGGCTTAGCGAGGCTCAAGCTTACTATCAGTCACTCCATTCCATCCTAGAGCCTAGAACACCGGATACGTCTTCGATGGATTGAACTCCTGATGGATCCTCCAGGCTCTGCTTGCGGTATGTTAGTTGCTCCGAGAAGACGTTGAATGGATTGCATTGGAATGGGATTCATCCTTCGGACACGCAATCACAGCCTGGTCGGCGCAATAGTTCCTATACCAGTTCCTTATAGTAACACCGGGATGGAATGAGATGTTCTCAGATTACAGTTACCGATTCGATCGCAAAGATGTTGATGAATCTTTGGCAAAACCAGTTAGAGATTCGACCAGTCTTTGCTCTGGTACTATTTGTCATTTTAGCGCTTCTTCTTTCCTTTTATCATGCTTGGTCGAACAGAAACAAAGCCAAAACATACGCAGCGAGGCTCCCAGGTCCAAAAGGTAGAGTCTTCCCTGGTCAAGCTTGAAATGGCCAATATTGACTTCTGTCAGGACTGCCTTTGATCGGATCCATCCACGAATTACCTAGCAAGTGTTCCTGGATGAAGTTTCATGAGGTATGCCATAACGAGCCCTTTCATAATTTTGTTGCTGACAAGAAACAAGNNTGGAGCCAGCAATATGGACCCATCTACCAATGCAACCTCGCTGGAACGAATCATATCTGGATATCTTCAGATCAGATAGCTCGCGAGCTGCTGGGCAAACGCCGCGCAATCTACTCTGACAGACCTTATATCCCTGCACTGGAGCAAGACAACCGCACCAGTGGACAATACCTGCCCTTGATGAGCATCAACGACAAATGGTCCCGACAGAGGAACTTTGGCAGATACATAATGACCAAGTCACACGAACAGTCTTATAATGCATACCCAGAGCTCGAGGCTGTCCGTCTACTTGACGCACTCATGAGGAGCCCTACCGAGTATGGCAACCATCTGGAGTCGTATGTAGCTCGTGTCACGAGCCGTCTGGCATGGGGCTCACCAACGCCCGCCGAGGGGCTGAAACAACGAGCTCGAGAATTGTTGATCGGCGTGTCACCTGACGGTGCTCTGGGTAACAAGATACCTTTTGTCATGAAACTCCCTCGTTCCNTCAGCCCAGCAAAGGCTTGGGAAGCACGTCGATCCAGGGCTGAGCGAGATTTTCTCGAGACCCTGCAGCAAAATATTGCTGCGTCGATGAGCGTCGATCAAGGTCTCTCTACCACTCAGTGCCCCAGACAATCCTGGACTCATCACTTCCTCCAAGGATCATGGGGCTTTGACTCCAACCGTGAGGGAGCATATGCAGTCGGTATGCACGCGATTGCTGGGGCATTGACCATCGCCGCGCCAATGCAAAGCTTTTGCCTTGCTCTTTCTCACCATCCGCAGTATCAATCCATGTTACATGAAGAGATTGATCGTGTTCTGGGGGACAGATTTCCGTCATCTCAAGACATACCAAACATGCCTGTGCTTCGCGCTTTTATTCGCGAGACGCTACGATGGCGTCCTCCCGTACCTACAGGAATTCCACACGAGTCCACCGAAGACGACATGTTCGACGGCTACCTAATTCCCGAAGGCTCAGTACTCCATCCACTGGAGTGGACAATCTCGCGCGATCCAAACCTCTATCCGGATCCTGATGCTTGGAACCCGACAAGATGGCTCAACTCTGCTTTTCCGACATACNAAGAGCCACTTGACCAGTTTCCTGCCATCACTGGCTACTCGCAGTTTGGATATGGCAAGCGAACTTGTCAAGGGCAGAAGCTGACTGAGGCTGATCTGTTTGTCGGGATTGGATCCATCGCTTGGTTGTTCTCCATAAACAGCGGCCCACACGAAACAGATCCTGTGGTAGACGAACTCGAGAAGGTGCATATCGAAGGAGCGACTGATCCTGATAGACGGTCCGTCCCTCCGCCAGCTCATGCAGCGGGCCAGACCGCACGTATCCGAAGCGATGCACAGCGCCACGATCCCACAATGCTTTTCAGTGGTTTGCTGATTGCGAAGCCCTTGCCATTCAAGTTTGAGCTGAAGATCAGGAGTAGAGCACGGGCTCAGAAGGTATCCGAAGCATGGCTGCAGCACTTTATGGCGGGCGATTACGAAGACGAATGATTGGGTCGATATGGTTCAGATTAGACGCAGGTGCGATGGAGATAGAGGACAAACCCAATTCCAGTAGCGAGACTCACTATACAAGATGATGCGTGGTTATCATGCGAACAAGCTGCATTCCCCGTTCATGCCCAACGTCGTTGGAGGATGGAGCTGCGTTGGCGGGCACGTCCTGTAGGAAGCCGACGCCAACGTGAGATCCTAAGGGCCCAATGCACGAAGGAGGCTTCTTTATGCATGCAAGGTACCGGTCAAGGGAAGAGGCTCGGACTCTGGACCCTGTCGGGAGCTTGTTGTTGTAAGCCTGCAGATCTTCCGCGTGGCATGTACTCGATATGGTCTGTACTTGTTGCAGTCCCACTTCTGCCGCCGCTCCCTCCTCAACATCAGACATAAGACTATGCAGTGAATTGTATTGATCATTGATCTAACAAGGCAAAGAACTTACATGTAGGGATCCTGCTCGTGTTCCGACAGGCACAAAAAACAGAATGTGATTCAACGAGCCGGCATATCGTAGTGCTGATTGGGGCGTGATAGCGGCTGCAGGATCGCGCAGCAGCCACCCAGACCCTGAAGCCTCAACCGACCTCCTGCTCTTTTCGGAACTGGCGCCGCTCTGAGCACGCAATCAATTAAGCGTGGACCCTGCATGAATCCTTCTCATATATAGCAGTTGGTATCTCCGTAGCTGCATGGGTAATGCCCGCTTACTGTATCTCCAATCCTCCCGCGTTTCAGTCGCAGCCTCGCGCTTGGAAATGTACTTGCCTGCTTTCGCATTCCATCCACCAATTCTCGTCGTTCCACGACTCTTCCACCGAACGCACCCAAATCATCCAGACCAAGATCCTAAAGCTTCAGTATGACCACATCAACTGCTGAGTTTGACTCTGATCCGTTTGTTTGGGGCATTGCTGAGGCGACGGTCAGTCGGCATCGCGATGCACATCGCGACACAGAATGTGAGCTCGTTTCGCTTCATATTCGTCTATCTCGACAACGGACTTCTGACATGATCAAGTCGTTACCGGAAGCCATGACATACCAAGGAACAACAGTCCTCACCGCCATGCCGATGCGTCGTCGCATCGGGTTTCCGACTTGTTCAACGGGTGAACAGCGCAAGAGGGAGCTCAAATACGACGGCTGTGCCAACGACCGCGTATCCCGATTATCCAACTACAAGTGCCTCGTCAACGACCGATTATTCCGATTATACCGAAAGCGACTCGTCCCAGCACTCTCAATGGTCAAGTCATTCATCAGCTCCCACATCGCCACCCCACTCGAGGCCCACACAGTTTGCTATGACCACTCAAGACTCGTTACCAGGCCTGCACTTCACATCAGCAACTGTCTGCCCGGTGCTGGCGGCAATGAATACCGCTAATTCCGCCTCTACTTCGCAAGCAACTTCTCAGGACCTTCGATGCTGGGACCACAACTGCAATGGTCGCAAATTCTCAACCCTGAGCAATCTTGCGCGACATCAGCGGGAGAAGGCTGGTGATGGGATGGTATATCTGTGTCGGACTTGTAAAACAACCTTTGTCCGCAAGTCCACTCTTCGAGATCATCTGTCCAGGGGGACTTGTTCGACCTCGAATCGAAGATGATGCAGCCTCACTAGCCTCGAGCCTTTCTTGTTACTATTCCTTCGAATAATGGATCCATGACAAGACCAGATATGAAATTGGCTATTCATACACCCTCTTCGAGGGTAGTCTTATCAAAGCCGGTCCAAGCGTGTTCAAGAGGCCATGCTGGCTAGACTATCTTGGTGTCTAGAATTCCAAGAGTCTGCATCACGTATGGCGAGGATGTCAGATCTCCTGCCACGCGTGCCGTGCGCAGTCTTCCGTCTCTTACCTTCCTTTGAACAATCTTCCAGCTTTGAAATCACACCATTGAGCCAACGGCGGTCAGACTCTCGCGTCGGTCTTTACCACCATCATCTGGTCATTCTCAAAGTTCCAATCACGGTGCATGATGGTCTCATGATTGTGGCATTTCTTATGCATGTATCAAGTCCCTCGTCATCTTCTCCGTCAAGCTTACAAGTAAAAATTGTCTGCACGTCTCGCATGCACTTCTGAAATTATACCCGCATCCTTCCTCTCATAAATACATAAAACCATAGATACCCGAAAATTCGGCTTCTTCGAATAGAGATGCTCCTTCCCCGTTCCATTCCATGCATTAGAGGCTCTAGCACTGTATCCGCCTGAGCCTCTTTGATCATGTCCTAAGAAGGATGGAGTCGACCAAACAGTAATAGTTCTCGTGACAAGAGTATCAGCAGAGTCCTTGTAGACAACTGCATCTGCCTGGCGCTAACAACACAGTCACTGCCCAGAGTTCGCAACAACAAAGAGCCATTCCAGGGGTCCAATCGTACATGACAACGTCTTTCACATACTTCTTCGGATCTACGAGAGCCTCGAACGTTTCTGCAGGTCGACTCCGGGGAACGAAGTACAGCTCGGGAATTGTGGTTTCATCGGAGATGCCGACTGTCGTTGTGCACCGGTAGCTGAAGATCTGTTCGCGAGCCGCCTCTTGATCATTAAGGTTTGTCGCTTATGTTTAGTCAAACTTTTCGTGGATCTCATTCGGGGTTCAAGCACGTGGCAGAACTAGACCTCACGATGCTTCATACATGGTGCACTGAGTAGTTCTCTGCTTGCTAGATGCTTACAGGGCCTAGAAGACTAGGTAACAAAAGTTCAGAATTGATCCAGACAGTAAAAATGTCGGCCAAGGAGACCTTCCCGGCACCGGAAGCTTGACTCCTGGCTTGGCGAGGCTTGTGGATGCTTTCCCCTTGCTGTGTGGCTTGGCAGAAACTTCTGCCGGGCTTGCTTTTGTGGAGATCACTGACAGCTTCTTTTGGACTTCCAACCTCGCACTCGATGACAATCATAGGCATGACCCTTTCCTCTCGTGGAGCCGGGCATTCTTCTCGCCTCAATATTGGCCGTCACGTGGGGTTCACCACTTTCCACCTCCTCCCACGCGAGCTGACCCATGCCACCGTTATAACGAAGTTCGTCTTCGCGTTTGGCAGTTGATCCTGAAATTAGCTGGCGCTCTTCAGCCTCCTCTGAACATGAGAATTATCAGGCGCTCGACGGGCGACGGCATCAAAGTCGTCCGGGATACAGCTAAGATGCCAGCTGAAGTGGCATCTGGTTGAAAAACTAGACCCGAGATCTTGAATATAAGTATGGCACACCATCGACCATGTTTTTAATCATCAAAGCGACTCTCTTCTTCGACATTGCTTCATCCCTGAAGCGTTCATTCTTTATCTCATCCAATATGATTGGAAGCCGTCAGATTCTGAGCAGCATTGCTCTCGGATTGACTGCTACCTGTGTTTCCGCCAAACCCTTGGGCTTCAATTCGACTTCCCTCGGTGGACATGCCAACTACACGACCCCCACTGCAGAAGGATCTGACACTGCCTCTGTCANNTCGAGTCCGTGAGCATCGTTGATGTTGTCGAGCTGAACAGTGTCTCAGGCGGTGCTGCTTCGAACAGTGGTAACGGCAGCCCTTNCTCCCAACGTAGAGGTAGGCACTCCGTCTGTCGTTGCTGCCATCGAACAGTCGACCACCACCACTACGCTGGTCTACGGCAACGATCCAATGGCTTCCTCTGCGGTCGGCTTGCAGACAATTGTTGTCACTGAGACGGCCGCTGGCTGCACCCTTGGCTCTGCAGCGACTGGTGTGCCCTCCGCTAGCGCAAGTGTCAATGGCCAGGCTCCTTACGCTATAGCAGCGTCGTCCACTCTTTCCGCCTCTTATGCAGCATCAACTCTACTCCCAGCAGTACACTGGGACTATCCCGTGGATGACATTCACAACTTGGCCCCTTCCAACAGTTCAAACCTTTACTATTCTTCCAACGGCGTTTCCGATCCTTCGATCCAGCATCTGTTTGCCACCGTTTCGACCACTCTGATGTATGAGTCCGTTGTCCTGGACCATTCCACGTTCGTTGCAAACACTTCTTGTTCCAATGATGGTATCATGGTCACCTTCACGTCGTCTGAAGCTTTCAACTTTGCATCTACTAGCTGGTCCGCCTCATCTTCCGGATTCGTTCTTGTCACCTATACAGATGGGTGTCATGGTACATCTGATCAGCAAAGAACCTTCTGGCTGATCAACTCGCTGGAACTATTGGCTGATTCCCTGTCCATTCTTGCCAATGTTGAGACTGAACTGGCAGTCGAGAGCGCACTGCATGAAGTCGACCTGCAATGGGGCACATACTATCCGACCAGCAACTCGACCAACGGCACCACTTCCGGCAACAGTGGTTCGGCTTCTTCCGGTTCCTCGTCTGGCTCGTCCAATGACGGCTCAGGCTCGGGATCCATGTCCGGATCTGGCTCGAACACATCTAATTCAACTACCGGCACCGGTTCGTCCTCTGCATCGTCGAACTCCACGACAGGATCTGCAAATGGCTCGGCTTGTGGCAATGCTCCTGCGTCTGTGATCGATGGTCTCCCTGCCGCCAACTGTGGTGACGCCACCTTCGATGCGGAGCTCGACAATGCTATCGGTTACCTCGACTTCAGCTCTGCATCCGAAGATGGCTCCAGCATTGCAGAGTTCCTACCTGACGCTTCTGTGAGCTCTACCGACCTCGCCGATGCCGAGGATAGTGCTCCACTGTCCCAACGATCCGTTGCGCTTGACAAGCGTTGGGGATGGAACCCCTTTAGANGCAATTGCTAATGTAAGTGATGCGATCAATGCATGTGTATCACGAGGCTAACACTGTTATAGGCTGTCGTCAGTGTAGCCAAGACTGTTGTCCAGGTTGCTACTGCTCCGGTGCGACTTGTTGCTGAGGGTATACGCAATATTCCAGTCGTCGGAGACTTCATCGCAAAGCAAACAGAACTCGACCCTTCAATCAGTGGTTCAAAGGACTTCAACTTCGGTCCTGACGCCAATGCCGATTCTCCATGGGGCAAGGCTGCCGAGATCTACACAAAGTCCAAGACTTCTGATACAGGAAGCGCCGATGTCACCATCTACTGTGTCGACTGTGGTGTCAAGGGACACGTTGCTATGGCCGGACAAGCAAAGTTTAACATCCTCGATGGTCTTCACGGTCTGACTGCTGATCTCAGTGCCAATCTCGAGGCTGGTGTCAACATTGGTCTGGTCGCTCACGCTCAGTACTCGGATACCAAAACCAAGGCCTTGATTCGTGCACCTCTTCCTGAGGTCGGCGTTGCCGTCAAGGGCGTTTTTTCAGCTGGTGTGTACCTGAGCGTCGACGCTGTCAGCACCGTCGATGTGCAGGCTGAAGGTGAAGCGCTTGTCGGTGTCGTCATGACCATTCCAAACTTCCAAGCAACTCTCAATCTGTTTGATCAGGACGGTGCAGGAAAGTCTGGTGTCTCAGGCCTTACTCCTACCTTCCAGAAGCGCTTCGAGGCTAGCGGGAAAGTAGCCGCTTCCGTCAGATTGGCTCTTCCCATTGCTATTAACTGTGGCTTCGAAATCCCTGCCCTGAGCCTCAAGAGAGCCATTTCTCTCATCGAGCAGCCAAGTCTGTATGGAAATCTCACAGTCGCCGCAAGTACCGCCAATGTCGCACCTGCAAGCGATACTTGCAACAACGGTATCGAATACTTTGCTAACCGTAAGTTTTGAATTTCTCATGCATCCAACATCCCAGCTAACCTGTTCTGAANNGTTCAAAACGACGTCAACTTTGACTTCCTTGGCCTCAAGACTTTCACTTTGAACCACTACGATTCTCCTCCTCTTCTGCAAGGCTGTAAATCGTAAGTGTCCCAAGAGTCAAACGGACAACGTCCCGAGCTAATACGTTCTAGTTTCGGATCCAGCTCCTCTGCAGTAAGTGCCGAATCTTCTGCAACCCCTACCGAGGACCCTACCTCAGCAGCAACCACTGGCGAGGCCACAGCTCCAGCCACTACCGGAGACGCCGACGCTACACCAACCGCAGGACAAACTACCGTTGATGGTACGCCTACAACAGGACAGACTACTGCCGATCTCACTAGCGATGGTTCGGCTATGCCAACGACCACAGACGACTCCGCATCAACCAATCCAATCGCTTCAGATGCCGTCACAACTCCTACGGCCGACTCGACTGCTCCTACCACGACCAACGACGCCGCTTCTACCGCGGATGTTACATCCCAAGGAAGCACAGATATCCCTTCCACGACGACTCCCGCACCCGAGGCCACGTCAGCTGGTGAGAGTGGGTCGGTTGAGCGTCGTCGCGCTCCCTTCGTGCGCCGCGACAACTCAACCATGTCTACCTCAAGCGATGATGAGGTCATTGCGAATGATACTGAAGACACTTTCGATGCCACTGATAACTCAGACGAGACCAACGATGCCGTCTCTGATGATTCTTCGTCTGCTGATGGCACTGAATTCGAAGCGGACAGCAACGAAGCATTGTCCCTCTCCGCCGACCAGCAGACCGAAGACGGCATCACCTTTGACACTCTGATCGATATCCAGAAGACTTTCCAGGTCGTGCCCGGCACCGATGGAAACCTGTACACCGCCAGCTACACTGCCGGGTCTCCCAGTGACGCCGGACTCTTCGCATCATCGCAGAACGTCATCATCGGTGACGATGAGGAACGAGTCCTCCACTACTACCCAGACGAAATGGCAGCATACAATGTCAGTCGTATCAGACTCAGCTCCGGCTCCGAGATTCCAAAGACTGCCGATGCGATCGCCTTGTCGCCAATCGACTACGACAACTCTGACGGCACCCCTTCTGCTTACTTTGCAGTCACCACCAAGAAAGATGTCTACAGTCTGGTTCTCTGCAACTTTGCCAATGGCGCTGACAGCAAGATTTTCATTGTTAATGATCAGTCTGGCATTGACACACTGCAGAATAATGCCAATGTCAAGTTTACGGTTACGGGCGCGCCTGTCAAGTATTGTTCGCCTTTGGCCATTGTTTCTGGTGGTAATGGTACCGTTTCTGCATCTTAGATGCATTGAGCCGTTATTTCGTATTTCTCTTTTCCTTTGTTGTACCTTTCTTTTGAACCCATATTTTCTTTTTTCCAACTCTTGTAATTATGCCTTTTGGGCTTCCATTTCTCTATTCTTCTTTCTTGGAACTAAGCAATAATTTATGCTTCTGACAATACATACCTCTTGATCATTCATGTCTTCTTCGAGTCATTGTCAAAGGCATGTGCAGCAAGCAGAACACACCCGATGAGACATGCGAAGTTATCGCATTGGCATTTGATCTATCCTACATCTAAATCATATTCTATCTCACGTCTATAACACAATCTATGCTACGTCTATACCATAACCTATCCCCTCTTTGCCATCAATCATTTACAACCATCACTTCTGATCCTCTTTTATCATTGCCGCAGCCTTTTCCGCGATACCATAGAGACTAGAACTCAAATGCGCAGACAGCTGCACAGGCAACACACTAGCATCCACAACCCTCACATTCTCCAATCCATACACTTTCAACCTATTATCCACCACTCCACCCATTTCCTCTTTCATCATGCTTAATGTGGCGATGGGGTGCCATACAGAAGTAAACGTGTCTTTGACAAAGGCTTGCCAAGCGTCGTAGGATTGCAGATCAAAAGATGGGAAGACGCGTTTGTTGATCATATCTGCCAGAGGGGTAGTGGAGTAGACTTGGGCTGCTTGTCTGGTTGCCAGAGTCTGCAAGTGTAGATCTAGAGGGTGTTTAAAGTACGAAGGTTCAATGATGGGCATGTCGAAAGAATTGTTGCTGGAAATGTGGACAGTACCTCTAGCCAGAGGAATCAGGTTCCAGATATCGGCACCTACGGTCGCGGGAGCAGAGTCTGTTTTCGGAGCCAAGGTGAAGAAGATTTCGGCCGCGGCTTCGCTTTGATTGAATAGGTTTGCGACTTGGTACTTCAGAAGCTCGTGTGTGGCTGTGGCGTTGGCGACGAGACCTTGTGCTTCGAGGTCGGCTGCGTAGGAGGCTAGGCTGGCAAGAGTCTCTGCGTGTACAGCAGAAGATGTGTTGCCGAGCAGTTGATGGACATTGGGAAATGCGATGGCTGACGAGGGGCCTGAGCCTTCGAGGTCATCCGACTTTGGTATATAGGTGATTGTGTTCTTGGTCTGCTCTTGAAGGTTCTTGCCTACGCCCTTGATGGCTTTCTGCACAGGAACGCCGGCTTTGTTCAAGATTGCTGGGTCGCCGACACCGGAAAGTTCAAGGAGTTGAGGGCTTTGCATGGAACCAGCAGCGAGAAGGACTTCACGAGTTGCCTTGACGAAAAGTCTCTCACTCTCGTGGGAAGCTTGGTAGTAAACACCATCAGCAGTCAAGACACAGTCAGGCTCTGCTTCTGAGCAAGTGTTGTTCCAGCGGATCTCGACGGCACGATGGCCGGTGAGGATGACGAGATTGTCGCGTTCTTCTGGCTCGCCAAGTATGTATGCAGTGTAAGGCGAAGACCTGTTTTGACTCTGATCAGGTTGTACCATGTTGGGTATGGTGGTGAAACCATTCACAGTTCCAGAAGCGGCATCATCGACATGTTCGAGGCCCCAGATCTGTTGAGAAGCATTGAGAGCAGGTTGTTGTATACTTCCAAACATGCCCTGAGCGAAGGAGACTTGAACGGGACCGTTGTAGCCGTGCTTATAGCCATCGTAATCAGCCCCTTTAGACTTCGAGTCGTTTGAAGGAGTGTGGAAGTGTTCAGCGCCGAGCATATACTGGTTCAAACCATCCCAGCCCCACGACATATCACCGGTGAGTAGTGGAAGGAGGTCGTATTGTGTCTTTGGTCCTTTTGTCCAGCTTGCTCCGTTGATGCTGCCAGATCCGCCGAGAGTCTTGCCGGCAACCATAGGGAGCTTGGTTCCATGTCTCCACGAGATGGGTGTCGAAGTCATGTTGTAATCGAGGTCGGACTCGAATGCTTGTCCGTAGGTGCGCACATCGTAGACTCGGGAATCGTCGTGATTGTCTTGCCCGCCTTCAATGACAAGAACCCTGATGTAAGGGTTCTCCGAGAGACGGCTTGCGACAATCAGACCAGTGAGGCCACCACCGACAATGACATAGTCGAAGCAGTCTTGGGTTGTAGTGATGTTGAAAGTCCTGGCTGGTGCTGCAAGAGCGACAGGAATGGCAGCACAAGCCAACAGAAGAGGAACATGACAACAAAAGATGAATTGAATGGTGTATATTGTTACATCCAGAGCCAGGCTTACCTTTTATAGATGAGTTAGCTGTATCAAGGTTTTGATGATATCAAGGTGCTCTCTAACACACCGTGATGGTGCCGTTCGGGACGTCACGATAAGAGACACGAGTCTGAATAGTTGGATCTGAGCAGTCGACAGACACACAGTGCTGAGTGCATATCAAGGTGCATTTGGTTTCCGCCAAGGAACACGTTGATGATGGGTGGCCGAAAAAATGACCAATAGTAGTTGGAGCAAGTCACGCCAAGATGATGAGAAAGCATATCAGATAGAACAGTCTGGGAAAAGGGCCTTCTCGAAGACGTTGTGGGTAGACGTGATAGCAGAATGTTGAACACTGCCACCATTGGCGGACAAGCTTTGGTGCGTTTCTTCGGCGGCCAAGTCGGTCTTGGGATCCAAGACATGCAGACTGCGCAACGCTTCGGTGAGGGTCCTTCCCATAAGCATCTTAAGCCCTACGGGTTGTTATCAGAGCCGATGGATCGCGGCGACCTCACGCAGATACGTGCAGATATCACACGCACGGCCTCCGCGGGCGCGTACGGTCAGAACTGTATGCGCGTCTCTCCCAGTTCTCATCACCGCGCCCGACAAGATTGACGTGTCTATACCGCAGCTGTATCTTTGCGATCTCACCACAAATTCGAGAGGTTCGTTCTACGCGCTCCACCTGCCCTGGCACCTACCCATCAGTCGGGCACCGGATCTATCCAACCGATCGATCAAGCTCACCAAACCACCTTGATCGCCTTAATCCACTTGACCAGCTTGATCTATCTGAGAAGTGAAGGCTGCTTACATGCAGTTGGTTCTCTAGAGATAGGCCCAGGCGCGTATCGATTCTACATTCTGTAGGCGCCAATGTTTGAGAAGCCGCCGCAGGTTCAAACAGAGGACCTTATAACTCTGCATCATTACCATAATGTCAGGTAAGCATTTCATTCCGTCTATCGACGTACGTGATGCCTTCAGGAAAGCCACGTCTGTACGTCGCTCTCTACCCGAGTGGAGTTGTCAACAATGAAGAACGCAAGTATGGTACCACTCAAGACTGGAGACGAACAGAAAGAGCTTATTCGCATAGATACCACTGGGCATTCCTCATCGGACCCAAANAGGAGACCGCCAAAGAAGTCCCTGGCGTGCGCTATCACGTCACCAATCCCCCTCACATCGGATGGCAGTACGATAAGGCAGACTTCAACAATGTTCGCATGACTAGCAACCTCCTTGTGCGCATTACGATTGCCAAAGTTGAAGACATGGATAGACTTGACGCCATTCTCAAGAGTGTGCCGGTCGTACAGAACGACTCGAACTGGAGATGTCGAACTTGGATAGCAAGCGCACTCGCAGAAATAGCAAAAGATGGAAAAGCCGTTGGGACTGCTGAAATGGACTGGATCAAGATTGAAGAGACCGCGAGAAGGTATGTTGCTGAGAAGACCGCTCTTGGGCGTTACCTCAATGTCAAGGATTTGACAAGACCGAGGCCCACATGGAGCATGCTTGAGAACAAGGAGACCGTAGCTTGATGTCACGTTATTGTTTCCAATACAGTACAGAATCCAAGGAAGCAGTCATTGGATCACATGGTGTCCACATGTCAACATTACATGTCAACCCGCGCACGTTGTGGTTGTAATACGTTCGCTCTGTGAAGTAGTCGGTGTAAAATCTCTATGTACTTGGTAGAGGTCCGTACAGCTTACAAATACTATGGCCAAGACTTTTGGCTACTGAGGGTTTTTGAAACATGCCTGTCTTGCTTGCTTCCCTCACTAATACTCATCACTGCATCAAAACATCAAGTTCTATCCATCACCAGTCTGTTATCAATGAGTGTTTGACTTGTGCCCTTCAGCGTATCCTGTCCATGTGTGTTAGTTTGTACATCGAGTGAGAGTTCCTCGGCATTTGTCGCTAGCAGACATGACGGAAAAGTCGACGGCGGCTAGCGACGGCGCGATCAGCAGTAATCACGCTCAGGATTTGGCCATCAACAACACTCGCTTCTACCGCCTCTTCACGAGAATAGCGCTAAAAACTTGGGGGAGACTATACAAGGCCGACGGCTTCTGTAGTCCTATCTCGCGTAGGATGATCGTCAAGACTGGACCGTCGGTCGACTTGACCGAAGCGGCGACCATGAAATTCATCTCGGAAAACACGTCCATTCCAGTCCCGAAGGTGCACTGCTCATTCATCCACAAGGGTCGTACATATATTCTCATGGAACGTATAAGAGGAGAAGAGATACCCCGTGCCTGGAAACGACTCGGCGAAGAGGGCCGCGCCAAGATGTTCGCTCACCTCAAGCAAATGATTGAAGAAATGAGAGCTCTGAAACCGCCTTCTGGCACTGGCGTGCGAAGCTGCGTTGGTGGAAGTCTCTACGACTCTCGATTCAATAGACAGGAGAATCGTTTTGGGCCCTTCACAACTATACAAGAGTTTCACTTTTGGCTTCGAAAGGAATTCCGTCTGGCTGATTACCCAAACCCAGAGAAACCAAGCGAGGAAGTAAGACCGGAACTCATGCATATGGAGACCATGCAAGATGGACCATGGCCAAGTCCTGTTTTCACCCATGCTGATCTCAATCCCTGCAACATTCTTGTGCGTGGTGATAAGATCGTCGCCATCATTGACTGGGAGTTTGCAGGATGGTATCCACACTACTGGGAATACACTTCCAATTGGTTTGGTAACCGGGTGAGAACAGAGTGGCAGGACGCATTGGTTCAATTCTTGGAGCCATGCACCGCTGCCGAGTTCGAGATGGAAAAGACACGGAACAAATGGTGGGGTGAATTTTGAGTGTATTCTGCTGAATACGCGCGATCGCAAGAATCTGTGTTCAGAAAATCATGCCTACAAGATAGCAACACCATTCGGCGGACTTGCGACACCTCCAGGGACGTGAATGGGCATACTGCTGAAGAAGAAAGACCACTTCTTCTTGTCCTTGCACTCTTTCGCCAATCTGTCCAAGTCGAAGATCTCACCAATGGGCAGGCCCCAACCAGCAAGCAACCATTCGTGCAAGAGGTACTCTGTATTCTGGCAGGGCCAGGCCTCGAAACTTGGCTGGTCTCCTGCGACAGCAGCAAATCCTTTCTCCCACATCCAGCGGACCGTCTCTTCTGATGACTCGACGCCAATGGCAGGAGGCGGGTATGTTTCCGACAGCTTTGTGCGAGCTTCGTTCGACAGCTTTTCATAGGCGTTTGTCCAGCCAGTCCGGATGAACAAGATATCCCCCTCTTTGAACTCCACACCCTGGGCTTGCGCAACCTGCTCCAAGACATAGACCGTGATAGGTGTAGTCTGGAAACACGCGTCCACACTCCAAATCCCCTTTTCCTCGGCCCAAGACTTGTAGTCAAGCAACACGCCTCTGCCCACCACACCCCCATTCTCAACCCACACATGGATACCATTCTTCTCCGACCCAAGCACATCCTCATTGGTGCAGTCGTTGTAATATCTCTTCTCTTTCTGATACCCATAATGCCTGAATCCATCCCATTGCGAGCTGCTCTGTGTGTTGAAGGTCACGGTATCGTCGTTGACACTCCGGGGAGCCTTGTTGATAATGTTGTGACCAAACGCGACGCGGTTGAAACACGGCGGAGACATTTTGTTCAGTGGCCAGTCGACAGAGATGCGTGTGCCGTGGACGATTTCTTGAGCGGCCGAGGTGGTGTTGGAGGGGGTGAGGAGGTTGAGCATGCCGAGTTGGTCCGAGGTGCCCCAGAGGCCCCAGGCGTTACCGTGGGGGCCATTGGGGTCAAGAGGAAGAGACGAGAAGGGAGCGCGTGTCGACGGCATGACTGTGGAGCAGATGCTTGTGGTATAAAAGAAAGCAGAGGGGCCGGAGGTGTTTTGTTGATGTGTGACGTGTGCGGGGTAGCTGTTGTATATCCGACGGCGCTGTGTTTTTCCGTTTGGCGGCGCTGCTTTTCCGCCAGGGGCTTCGTCGTACAAAATAGAGAGGTGATGAGGTCCCGTTCACTCAAGTGAACCGACATTTTCCGTAAAAAGAGTATTGTAGCAGGCATCCCAGGGACCACGGCCCAACCAGGTTGAGCAACACGCGTTCTGCCACAGCATGAGGCTTTCCGAGAAGTTTTATCGCCGTGATATCTGGAATGAACCACGCCAACATACAACACGGGAAAAGAGCCTGCTGGACCAGCCATACATCGGATGAATTGACATAGAAGCCCAGAAAGTAGAAAAATGTAGAGAGAGCGTATGCGACAAGGACGATTGGAGACCGATATCTCCTTGCCTGAGTGGGCTTTTCCGAAGCTTCATGTGTCCCGATGGCCTTCGTCATGTTTTCGACTGATGGTCTCTTCGATTGGCTTGTGCAAGGAATTGGAAGATACAGATTAGAAATGTTCAGAAAGGCATGCGGTGTCTGTTGTAACGACCCTCTAGTTTAATGTTGCCGTGCTTTCCGCAGGATGGAGAGTGTATTGAGTAGGTAGGTAAGCGTGATCGGCGAGCTGCCGAGATTAAGCCGAGTTATACCAGATCTATGATGATTAGGGGAGCACCCTGTCTCTAGATTACTTTCACTATCCATTAACGACAAGGGCTTACGTATCGGTATGAATGCATGGGGAAACGTTGCTCAAGTGCTTTGAATTGTACAGCAGAGTACTCTGAGCAAATCGGATGCCAGTCGGCGTTGTTTGCTATGTTGTAGGATCATTGCCTGGAATTGTTCGACTACTTGGCCAGACTGTCCTCCCCCCCCCACCCCCCAACTACCGCCTCACTCATCAGGATTATCCGGTTGCAGGATGACATGCTTGCAAAAGCACTACATTGCTACGGTTCCATCTCCTCTTCAGTGGTAAACAATCTCGAGGCAGGCCACTGTTCTTGAACGTCGTGGTAAGGAATGCCCATATCTGACCGGGGATAGGGGATGTGGTCCATGTGAGAACCAATTGTTCGTTGACCCTCCATCGTTCCTATTCAATAGGTATGGAAAAGAGTAGCCTTCATTAGAACTAGGTACGTAGCCTCAACGCTGCACCGATGGTTGAGGTAAAGTAGAAGCCATGGCTACGCAGGGACTGAGATGGCTTGCAAGCCACCAAATTCAATACTTTGGCGCAAACGAAACGCTGCTCTATAAGCTCTGTATAAGAGCATAAAGGCTTGCGTCAGAATCTCACCAGATGCTTGTCGTATTCTTAGGAATACCATGCAAATGCGAGGGCGCGTTGTTATGCTGGTCGTCGCATGAGTGACCGTCGGCCGAGTCTGGACGTGTCTCTCTCGCTTCTTCGAACACCATCTCATGTTGGTCTCACACAAACCCTCCGGCATGAGCGTCATTCTCAACACAGATCTCAAAGCACGTAGATTCAAGCCACATTCATCAAGCTTTGTCGGATTTTGAAAAGGGCCTTGACCGGGTAACCCTCTGCGTGCCTGCCGAAATACGTCATACCAGATCGTCACGATAGAGTTTGAGGCCCCCGATGGGCCTCAGCGATCCGGGAGCGGCCCTCGCTCTCTTCCGAACACCAAAACCCACCCTTTCTACGCCCTTTGTCACCAAAACCTCATCGATCTGCGCGGCTTCAGTTTCCACGTTCGACTGGGCCTTCTAGCTCCCATTTTCCCCATCGCGTGGGCCTCCGCGGCTGTCCATTGTTTTGATAGGCTGCGTATGATGATTTTGATGGATGGTGATATCATCATTTCTTCCGACACACACAAAAACCGTGTTACCGTCCGACATCTCTCCTAGTATATAGGTAGGCCGCCCAGGTATTCTGTTCAACTCACACCACTTGCTATCTCTCGATCTGCTACACCAGGTTCTGCCTGGCAATCCTACCAAACATGCCTGCCCTCTTTGTCGATACAACCTTCGGGTTTCTTATGCGCAACATCTCTGGCGGTAGACTTTTCCCATACGAGGATTCCTATAATGAAGAGCTCCGCGAGGAGTATTTTAACCAAGGAGAGGTCAAGGAGGAGGAATCATCCGACGACGAGGAGAAGAATGGTGCCAAGGGAAAATACAAGCTGATCGAGTTCAGAGAAAATGATCCTGATGTACGCCGTGTCGATGTCCACACAATGTGTACATGAGCTGACTTGTTGCAGAACCCGCAAAACTGGTCCACCTTCAAGAAGTGCTTTGTGACCTTCAACATCTGCTTCTTGACTTCTTCAGTCTACATTGGATCTGCCATCTACACTTCTGGTCTTCCCTTTATGACTGGAGTCTTTGGCGTGTCAACAGAAGTCATTACGATCGGTCTTACTCTCTACGTTTTGGGATACGGTATTGGTCCCATGATCTGGTCGCCCTTGTCTGAGATTCCTCAAATCGGCAGAAATCCCATTTACATTGGTACCCTGGTTGTCTTCGTCTTCTTCAACTTCGGCGTCGTATATGCAAAGAACATCGGCATGCTGCTCGCCTTCCGTTTCCTCACCGGTTTCTTTGGTTCTCCCGTACTCGCTACTGGAGGTGCTTCATTGGCAGATATCTTCCCTCCTGCCAAGCGCGCATACGCTCTCTCCATCTTCGGTATTGCCAACATCATGGGACCTTCGCTTGGACCTGTCGCTGGTAATTGGGCGGCTCAATATGAAGGCTGGACCTGGCCTATCTGGATCCTTATCTGGATCTCTGGTGCTTGTCTTGTCTTCTTAATCTTCTTCTGTAAGTAGCCATTTTGCATGCCTCCACGCGCTTTCTGCACCGACACTGACTCTTGCGCAGTCCCCGAGACTTCCGCAAACAACATTCTTTACCGTCGCACTGCTCGTCTCCGCAAGTGGCAGGAGGAGAATGGTTACTTGGATGACAAGCCGTACGACAAGATCAAGTGTGAACCTGAGATTATGGGCGAGAACATGGGTGCTGGCGACATGGTCAAGATGACTCTCGTCAAGCCTTTCTCCCTCACCCTCACCGAGCCGATCGTCTTTGCTTTGAACCTTTACATCGCCCTCATCTACGCAGTTCTCTACTGCTGGCTGGAGTCTATCCCTCTCGCCTTCGAAGATGTTTACGGGTTCGGCCTTGGAACTACTGGCTTGTGCTACCTCGGTATCTGTGTCGGTGGTGTCATCTGTATACCTCCCTACTGGTACTACAACTACTACTACGTCGAGCCTCGCTTCTCAGAGGATGGAAGCCTTCGTCCTGAAATCAGACTGGAGCCTGCAGTGGCTACCTGCATCTGTCTGCCCATCTGTCTGTTCATGTTCGGTTGGACTGCCAAGGCCTCGATTCACTGGATTGTTCCCATCATCGGTACCTCCTTCTTCACTATCGGTGCCTTTGGTGCTTTCTCGGGCGTCCTCAACTACCTTGGCGATGCCTACCCTGCAGAGTTTGCTTCCATCTCTGCCGGTAACGACTTCTTCCGTTCGTGCTTCGGTGCCGCTTTCCCTCTCTTTGCTCGCCAGATGTTCAACACCTTGGGTCTCGATTGGGGTAATTCGCTTCTCGGGTTCTTGACTGTTTTGTTCATTCCCGTTGTCTTTGCCCTGTGGTTGAAGGGAGACAGACTGAGAGCTCGCAGCAAGAGAGCCACTCAAGCTTACTTGAGCAAGAAGGACGAGAAGAAGGAAGGTGACAACAGCGATGATGAGAAGACGCAGGTTGGCAGCGACGAGGACAAGGAGAAGGAAGACAAGTAAGAGAAGAAGGCGATAGAACTGCCACGACCATGAATAAATAGACTTAATATGTAATATGTAACGATAACGACATGTACTTGTACTCGACGATCTCAAACCTTTTCATCTCAGATGCATTCATTCAACCC